ACTTGGAAACAACTAAGGAAACAAGTCTTTTTAATTTCTATTTTTACTAAACCTTATTTTTAAGTAAAACAAGTGATAACCAACATGTGAAATGACATTCTGACCTACTGGGAATATATGAGAATATGAATAAAAGAGAAATTATAAGTAAAACCATAAATGGGCTAATGGAAGTATCTACGTTAAAAAAATCATTGAAATATTCCATTTGCATAAAACATCTTAATAAAAATATATCAAACGTTCTACTCAATAATTGTACAGGATATAAACTGATATGCTGCATATCAGTTTGAACATACATGGAAGATTGGCTAAAGGAATAAAGTACTAAACCCATCTTTCAGGAAAAAGATAAAAATTACTCCTTAATTTATCTATTTTTAAATTAGGATATCTACCCAACAATCGGTAAGTACAAATATTGATTCAATATCTAGTGAAAGTTACTCCTAGATTTGACACATGGCTAGTTGTGATAATGAATTAAAAATCATTATTATGCTATAATCAAGATGCACCCATAATCCAAATTGGCATTTCTTATTACTCTAACATCAATTCCTTCTGCCTCTGACCTCTATAATATTCTGCAATCTGTATTATTATTTCTCAACCTTGAGTAATATACAAATCCTTTACAAAAAAAAAAATCAGACTCTTGATAGTGACTTAAATTTATAATGATGTTTATATACAGATGCAAAATTGGGTATATATGCCTCAGCATATATAATACAATTATAAAACCAAAACACATTTATAAATTAAATAAAATAATAATCACAAAATCAGAACTTTTAAAATTAATATTAACTAAGTAGATAAAGTCTTACTGAAACTAGGTTCTGCAAATATAATATATAGTGGCAGGTGATTTCAAATGCCATGTCTGTGACAATTTAATTCACCTATCTTGTTTTTAAAAATTACATGAGTGAAATCTTTGTGACATGATATCATTTGACATGGTACCTTTTACTTGGAGGGGACATATAATTTTACATTAAACTCTGTATGTGTCCCTTTTTAGCTTGTAACAATTAAAGTATTTAGTCACAATGCAATGAAAATATGTGTTTAATGAAGACACAAATCATGAGGCACGAAAATGAATAAGATACAGCAGTAAGCATCATTACCTAGTAGAAATACTCTCTACTAGAATTATCCTCTACATTTTCAATTAATTTTAGTACAAAATTATCATGCATTAAGTATTGAAATGGAATGACTAAATATAAACTATGATGTTACAAAGGTGAGGTAGATAATTTTGGCTACGGGAGTAAAAGAATGTTTCACAGAGAAGATTATATCCAAGTTGAGCTTATTTTAGGTATATGATTTTATAAGCTGAAAGAGGAGAAAGAGGAAGAATACAGCAGAAAAGGAATGAAGGTAGAAACATCATGGGAAACTTCTGGTGAAAGTGGTAAAGCATGGTCACGAGTTATCTGATCATCTATTTTTTGTATTCCCAGTAAATTAGAAATGACTCGAGGATAGAGACATCTTTTCCATCTACAAGATGCACAAAAAAGAATTCACTCACTCTAGTCCGAGAAATAAATGTTTATTTTCATTACTTCATAAGGGTTAAATTTAACATTGATCTAGGAATCAAAGTGTGGTGAGCCAAGGATAATTTTGAATTGAATAAAATCATATATAAATGCTCGTCAAATACGATTTTGGATTTATATTTAACTACATTTAAGATTTCTTTAGATTTATTCAAGCCTATTTCTTCATTTGATGTTCTTTCATTATTTCTGAAAAGATGTGGAGAGGGCACTCCCTGGCAAATTTTTAAATGAAATACTGTAATCGAAGAGATAAGCAGAGCTTAAGAACAATAAAGCTAATTTTGCACTGAGGGCATTTATCCACATTACATACCTGAGCTCTTGTAATATAGGTTTATAGTGTTCTACATACCATGGTCATGTAGTCTAGGAGGGATAGAAAATAAGGCCCAGGGACCACTCAAAGTGACAAGTGTTCCAAAGGGCTACACTTTCAGGTGTTTAATGATCTCTCCTACTTTAATGAATTAAAAAAAAAAAAAGTGAAATGTTAGAGAAATGTCCCTAAATCAAGTACTATATGGTTTTAGACAGTTTCATTTCAAACTGACACAAATAACACAGTATCTTCCCTGTTCATATTCTGCCAAATATTTATGTTCTTAAAGAGTTCTAATACATAAATCTGACCTAGGAGTTTTATCTTTCATACTTCAAAAAATTTTGATACTCAAACTGAACATAAGTGCTATCTGTATATTGTCACCGTGTCCTTGAGAACTAGGATTCTCACAAGACACAAAAGATAACAGATGAAAGATTAAAAAGTTAAGTAAAATCTCTTTAATTCAGAATTTTAATTGGAAGTATCAGTATGAAGATACAAAGAGTTTTATCTTAAAAAAAAATGAGTGTGTGTGTATATGTATGTGTATTTCCTGATTCTGCCCATTGAAAAAGGCTAGGAACAATAAGAAACCCAGTAGAAATAAATACCTTTAGCATCTAGATTGTGGGTACCAAGTATCATTTCTGACTAAAAATAAAGGACATTATGGATATTCAGCTGACTCCAGTTGTGAGACGAGAAATGTATAATATGATCCAAGAACATTTGTTCTTGGCAGAAGTATTAAATAACAGAACTGAAGAACTATCAAGGACTCAGAAGCCAACTTGTAAAGCTCCCCATTAGCTAAAGATAAGAATATGAACATCAATAAGGCCAGTAACTATAATATGAGATATACAGAACGTGTTTAAATTACTGAGTTTATAATGACAATAAAAAGTTTTAAAAACTAATTGTCATTGTTCAGGAATAGAGTTAGCCAAGAATTTATCCAGCCTTTCTTATATAGACTTCACCATCAAGTAATTAAATGATAGATAGATGACTCTAGAAGTTGTTAAGCTAATAAAGGAAAAGGGAATGTTAGACTATCATGATTTTGAAATCATTAACATACAAGAGATCTAAACACTAAAGTCTGCTAATAACATAGTTCCAGATGTGTTTCCAGATGAAGAAACACAAAATCATGTGTGGTCTTGTTAATAAACAATAATCTAAATCTGATCAAGCCTCTAGATTAAATTGCCATACTTAGAGGAGACAGAAGTCAGGAACATATTAAATGACATTACAGAGATGCAATGAATAAACTGGGTAACTCTAAAAGAAAACTGACTCAGTTTGTTTAAAAAATAAATTCCAAAAGAAAAAGAGGAAGGGAATCAATAGTGTTGAGTCAATTCGATCATTTGTAACGAGTGATTCTTATTTAGATACAGATTTAAAATAAAGAAGAAAAGTTATGATATTTATGAGATCATCTGATTTTGAAAACCAATTAGATGTTTCACAATATTAAAGAATTATTGTTCATATTTTGGGGTCATAATGGTATTGTGGTTATGTTTAAACAATAGTCCCTATCTTTTAGAAATATACAAAAGTTACATAGAAAAAGGATATTTTATCTAGGATTTCCTTAAAAATAATATGAGAAGGAGTAAATGAGGGGGGGAAATATAAAAAGATGGATAGTTGTAGCAAGGGGAAAGTATCACAGCTTCATGGTTCTATGCTCTGTGAACTCACTGGCAAAAAGGATTAAATTTTCCTCTGTAAATGAACAAAACTAAATCTAGTGTGAATGAACAAACTAACATACGAAACATAAAAATCGATGGCAAACTTTTATAAAATATATTTGGCCTATATTTACTACAAAATCTGTTTTCACCACGAATTTCCTTTTACTCATTGTGAGTTCTTAAGCATTATATCAAGCAGACAATACATTATGATTCTGTTTCACTTTATGTTTTCTTTCTGAAAGATAACATGCCTTAAGTTTTTAACAAAAAGTTCTCTAATATTGTCTAAGTTTTTAACAGCTGTTGTTTCTTCTCTACAATCTGCTTTCAGTCACAAATCATTTTGATAGTATTACAATCACACATCTTCTGACTTGGGATCTATGCAACTCTTTCCTTTGCAGACAAAAATAATATCAGAATCTTCCAGTCAAAATAGAAACTAAATTTCAGTGTCAATGTGACTCATGTACTTTGAACTGCAGATGTTTGGAAGCTCTTAGGATTATGTAAATTAGTTTTTATTTCTCTTTATTTAGAAAAATTTTTTTTAAATCACTCCATTTTAGATTTAAAAATAGTAAGTGGAATGCTTTTCTCACATTACAATAACTTGGAACAAAAGGTAACTTGTTTTTTCAAAGCGTTGGCAAAATATCAACAACTTGGTTTAAGTGAAATTTATATAATTACGAAGATTTAAAAAGAAAAACAATAATTATATGAATAAGTCTCTGAAACCACATATGATGCAGCTGTGGGGTGTATGTGTGTGTGTGTATAAAACATAAATTATTCAGTAAATATCCACTGAGAGTCCATCCACTAGGCAATATACTAGCACCCATGAGGCAACA